GACCCATATGGCAAAAAAGAAAACCAAGTAAAAGCTGATCCAGACAGAGATAACCAGAATAACCTAACTTTCAAAGCGTCTACAGCCGATGCTTCACCACACTGAGCAAGGAATCGGCTGATGTGCACATAAGTCGACACGCCCTCTTGTCCTGAAAACTTGGAGAAGTCTGGAATTTTAAACCGATTAGGGAGAGGGACTCTTTCAAACCACTCAGGATAAGGCTGCCGATACAAGCTTCCAGTCTCTTTTGGTTTAAGCCCAAATTGTTCTCTCATTACATCAGCAATCACATCGGCCCACGGTCGTTGCTGAGCTGCTCCTTGTGGCTGTTGTTGCATGGGCTCGAACTGACCATACTGAGATGCGAACTGGGGCTGAGCCAATCCTCCTGGCTGGTGCTCAGGAACCATCTGAGGCATCACTGTGCCGTCCGGCTGTGCATGGTGAACCAAATGCTCTGGGATGACCTGATTTACAAACTGCTGTACAGGCTGACCACCAGGTACTGCGAACCCGGCCGATGCATTTACTGACCCCGGGTGCTGAATCGGCTGAACGATCTGCTGTCTCAACGGAGTCTGTTGGATCGGCTGCTGAGGCTGCTACCTTGGTGGCGTCTGCTGAATCGGTTGCAGTGGCTGCTGCCTTGGTGGTGTTTGCTGAGCTGGTTGTATGACCTGTTATTGGATTGGTTGTACAACCGGCTGGATTGGTGGTGTCTACTGAATCAGCTGCTGCTGCACTGGATCAACAATAGGTGGAGGTGGCAGAAACATGGCAGCAACTTGATCTTGGGTTAGCCGATTAGTAGCCTGCCCGCCATGCTGTGGTTGTTCCCATGTTAACAACCGAGGGTTCACCAGCTGTCCTGGTGTCATAGCTAGTGTAGCATGCAAAGGAGTCGACGCTGGCGCCGTCGACTGAGTTGTGGGTGCAACAGAGGGAACTGCTTGAACAAATGGCTGAACATCGGTGATCAAAGATCGATAATTTGGGAAGACACCTCCTTGCAAGTAAACTGGGCCTACAGCCTGATGCTCAGCTATCGAACCATCGGCTATTGTCTTCATCATGTTTGACAAGGTATTGACTAATACCCCGGACTGATTGATCAAAGCATGATGCACAGCGTAATCAACCCGATCTTGGAAGTTATTGAAAAAATCTTGTGCTAGTTCACTATTCTGATTAAGATTTCCTCCTTGTGGCTCCTGAGCACCATCACCTTGAACGCCATGAACTCCTTGAGAATTGTCGCCTTGATCGCTTGGGGAGCCGTCGGTAGCACCTTTAGTACTCGGCTGGGCCGAGCAGCCTGGAGCTTGTTTCACTTCTCCATCTTTAGAAGAACCGGTCCCGGGACTATCAGCAACCACTTTTATTTTATACTTCTGAACATGTGTCCCCTTGCGGGTCTGCATAAATGAGTTCAGGAACTGATCCCGTGCTTGCTGCAGCATTGCTTCAAACTCCTCCTTCTGCTCAGGCGTGAATTTCTCTGGATCGATCGGTATGACGTTGTCTTCAATGATGTCAGTCAATCCCAGCTTCAACGCCTTGCCTTTAACGGAACCTGGGCTAGATAGTGGTGGTGGTTGTTTCTCGGCCATGAGGAAGAACTGACTTCTGACTTCTTACAAGTCCCACCAGGCGTGCCAAAAGCGTGTTGACAGAAAACACGTGGCCTGGGAGATCTGCTTAACTTCAGTGCAGGTCTAAAGCTCGCCTTCGGGTATATTAGCGTGCCAGTTGATTTGATCCTATAATCAACAAGAAATACAAGCAAAGAAACCATGGTTAAATCTATAAATGATAGCCGATCGGCTAGATGCCGGTGACATATCATTTATCTTTGAGTCGATGTCATCTGAGTATCAATCGGCAGTCATGAATAAGTAAAGAAGAACTAAATCTAATCGATCGGCTGTAGATATTAACGATATATACTCCTTATATCGATATATACTTAAATCAAGTGATTGGGATAGATCGGTCGCCATGCCGAGACAATATAAATCACTTAGATCAAAATATATATCAATAACAGGACTATATATGTTTATAGCATAGCCGATCAGATAGATCTAGCATGTATCGGCTAATACTCCGATACTACTCTATATCAGGATATTAAAGCAAGAATAATATATCAAACAAGGCCTAACATATTTAGATACAGCAATATCTTGGTATAAAGGGCAGATTTAACATGTCAATGAAGTATATGGAACAAATATAGTTAAATCAGATACGATCGGTTGAAACTCCGATGCTATTCTAATCAGCAACTAGAAGGCAGGCTAGAGATCGATATTCTAAGCATGACTTAATAGGTCAAACTCAACTGATACAGCATTAAGTATAAAAAGAACAACGATATCTAGACAATCAAGCCGCTAGAAGTTTCATAGAATGGTAGATATCTCATATAAATGGTAGATATCTCATATAATCTAGATCAACGTCAAGATCTAACCTAATCGGCTGCCCTTTGCATACAGATGTTAGCCGATGGTAGATTAGGTGGCGATATTGCTAGAGATTATATGAGATATATGATAACTCGACGAATTATATAAACAAGATTAGAGTATCATAAAGATGGAAGCACTAATCCTAAGAACACAATCCGTCATAACGAATTTTACCTCTTGTTGAAGATCGAAATCGATGCAGCTCAACCCGAAAGCAAAAACTCGTCGAAACAAAACTAAAGCAAAAGGGTGGCGATGCGCCGAAATTGTATTGAACATGTGTTCTTAATTACATAGGGCTCGGGGTCTATTTATACCCGATAATTACAAGATATGCCCATACCGGACATGACTATTATCTCTAACAAACTCTAAGATACCATAAGTCTTTGCGGCAGACTTTTTCCCACATTTATCTATAAGGAATCTACATAAAATATCCTAATTAATAGATACAATTGCCTTCCCAGGACTCTATCCATGCGTGGCAATCATCTTGAAGTACATTAACTTGAACCCGATGTCGCGTACAAGTCGTATTGTCGGAATTGGCTGTATCGGCTTACTTAGCCCAACTCAGACCCAGCCGATCCAAACCGCAACCGATCTGGACTCCAGCCGATTCCTGCTCTGTTTCCGAACTCGATCTCCGCCTCCAACTTCGCTTTGATCCAATCCTCTTTCCTGACACAAATGTTACCAAATTTGGTTGTTAACAGTTGGTTCCTATTCCAAACAAGAATTATTAAAATGTTTTCATTGCTCTCTCTCACATACAGGTTTTCGTATATGCCCCATAAATGAAGTTCATTCATGCATAAAATGAATGGTTTCCATTCTAGGCACACACTTTGTATTTTAATTGGTATATGACAATTATTAATAAATATTTTAATGTACTAAGGGTCGGAGAAAAGCTAGCATACGTTCATATACCGAAACCTGTATAGTTAACAAAAGGGCGCATCGGAAACATTGTGATCGGAGGTGCAGCCCTATATGATTTTTTTTCTTTAGATGCCTTTCCACAAGGTTCCAAGATTTCCTCTATTAATATCAATTTACATGATACACATATATAAATGCCACAAATAGATGTGTAATGTGATTTCTATAATGCTTTAAAAGTCTCTATCCCCTACATATATATCAGGAGGATGGATTCACATAGAGAGTGCAAATAAATGCAGCACAGATTTGTGAATGGATTTAAAATTGTATTAAATGCATCAAAACCCAAAACTACAATAAATGTTTAATAAAAAAATCATTAAATGTGAATATCTCGCATTGGAATAAATATGTGCATGTCATCTTACAATAAAAGACTAAATTATTTTGTATAAAATAATAAATCATAGAACAAACATTATACTCATGATTAAATTTGTGAATGAAAGTTTTACTCATGGTGGTTACGTGGACAAATCTTAGACGTTGTGAAATGTCACATACGCGCCATGTCAACACCACGTAGGACGAAGACCAGGTCAACATCGCCATGTAACGTGCCACGTCAGCGAAACCGCTCTCCAAAACCGCCGAGGGAGTCAAATTGCACTTGTTCTAAAAGTTTAGGGGTTAAGATATTTGGTTTTACGGTTCAGGGTTATGGATTAGATTCGGGTCACTTTTTAGGGAGTCAAAGTAGACTTATTCTTTTTTTAAGAAATAATATTGTTTTAATGAAAAATAACAAAAATGGAAGCCGATCCGCTAAAATTGTAAGTTCAATACCTGTCAAATTGCGGTTGTTCAACGGGGTTGTTGGTCCACTAAAAAAATAAAAAGTACATGAACAGTGTTGTACAGTGTTGTGCAGTGGCTGTTGTCTTTTTTTTAAAAAAAAATTTTTATACCCTGCCGAACTGGTGTTGAACTGCGGTAGTACGGTTGTTCGATGGGTGCTACACTTGTAATTTTATTCTGCTAATCTCTATTTTTGCAATTCTGTATTAAAAAAATATTATTTCTAAAAAAATTTCAAGAATGGCGGCGAGCTCGAGCTTGGATTTGTCGAAGACTATGGCGGCGTCCGGGTTCCTGATCTTCCTTCTCCGCGGCCCAGCGGCGCCCAGCGCTGTCACCCTCCGGGGAAGGAGCGGGAGGGGCGGCGGCGGCCTCGCCTTCTCCGCTTCGTCCTCCAATTGTAGGTTCTCGTCGTTGCATTCGTAATTTCGTATGGCCTTTTGCAACCAGTAGTGCGAGTAATTTAGTTTAGGTGAGGGATTCGAAACCAAGAACTTGATTCGGTCGATGCAAAGAGTAGTGAAATGTGTAGGAGTAAGGTTTGGGACTAGTTCTGATGGGTCTATGGAAGGGTGTGCCCTTGATTTCCGATTTCAAGAACAGTGGAGCCATGGCTCATCACTTCAGCTCCAGAAAGTTCAGAAAAAGAGGAGTTAGATTTTGTGTTCTGCGCAATTCAGTACAATCCTGATGGGTCTATATATGTAAGGGTGTGCCCTAATTTCCCATTTCAAAAACAGGGGAATCATGGTTCATCACTTCAGGTCCAGAAAATTCAGACAATGGGAGTTCATTTTTGTGTTCTGCGCAATTCAGTTCAAAGCATCCCATTCGTTATGCTATGTTACATCTAAGAACTGCAATTGGGTTGTGATTAGGATTGTTCATAACATGTGTTCCACTGTTCAGCTGGAACATCATAAGCAGCTGCTGCTGTAGCTCCACACAAAGTTATCAGTTATCACTTATCAGCTGCTCCCTCCTTTGGATCAGTTGCAGCTTCAGCCATCTTCATCTGCTGATCATCCCAGGCCTTCTGCGACTGCGCCTGCATCTCCATCATGCGCTGCTCTATCTCGAGGTTGTACAGCAGCGGAACCCAGAACGGTGCGTCGACGTTGTTGTTCGCGGCGGCGGCGGCGACGTTGTTGTTGGAGGAGGTCGCCGGAGCAATGTGCCCGGCACCGGGGCCGTGCCCGACGGCGCCGAGGCCGGCGTTCAGCTGCCCGCCGCCTAAGTTGTTGTTGTTGTAATTTTCATGGTGCTCGACGGCGCCGACGACGGCGTGCAGCTGCCCGCCGCCCAAGTTGTTGTTATTGTTTTCATGGTGGTCGTCATCGTCGTCGCCGTCGGCTTCCATGGCCGCGGCGATCTCCATCATGTGGAAGTAGTTATCGGCGTACATGGAGACCTGCTCCGGCGTCTTGCTTCCGACGAAGTACCTCGCGATGTTTCTCCAGTCGCCACGCCCGTACACACGCATCCCAGTCAGGAACAGCCTGCGGGGAATTAATTTAATTAAGTTCTCTTGAGCTGTTTAATTAGCTAGCTTGCTAACCTTGCAATTGTTTCGAAATTAATTACTAGCTTGCTAACCTTGAGGGAACTAATGACCTGTCATTATGAGTTTATGACTGAAGAAGTGCATATATGTTTTATTTCCTAGAAAAGAACGAAATGTGGACTTTGTGCGTAAATACATACAAATGTACTATAGCTACTAGCTACTACTTCCAAAATAGACATGATTTTTTTAAGAAAGAAAAGAATTTTCTAAGGTCAATATTGAATATGTCAGCAACTGAGATATCCCATCGCGCGCATCGGCTACATATATTTTGTCATCTTGTATATATATATTATTCACATAAAGTTATTAACAGTGGCAAACTATGAACATATACAATGAATTTTCATTTATCTAGCTAGATAGTTCCAACCTACAGATTTTAGCAAAATAGGTAAAAAGAATAATATATTTTGACTATATATGGATCATTATATGTAAACAATAAAAACTAGCTACAAGCTTATTATCATTTTTTTTGTGAGGAAGCTTATTATCAATTTATCATGCATCACTTACACATATATATTTTCATTAAAGAACTACAGTACATCACTACAGAAAATTTTGAAATAGAACAGTACAGCATGCTTTATGTTTCGACGTGATAAAAAACAAAGAGTGCTTAACCAGTAAATAATTTACATATCCAAAAGACTGGAATTTTAATTAAACATGCACAAAAATTAAAAAGTAAATAATTTTTCAACTCCAAAAGAGTGGAATTTTAACTGAACATGCAAAGAAACAAAAAAAATCATGTCATAAATCAAAATCAGATCAAGAATCAACCTGTGCTCATAATCGGTCCAAAGCACATCGTCATCAGCATTGTCCGGGTTCACCACCTCACCGTCCCCACCGTTCACCGCCACCGCCCCCTCCTCCATAGGAGCTCCACCAAACACCATGCCGGCGTCGACGCCGTCGTCGTTGTTGTTCGCAACGGGCATGCCGAAGTTGTCGTTCGCGAGGCCAAAGGTAGGGTGGACGACGGCGGCGTCGCCGGCGCCGCCGGCGTCCTGCGGCTGGGCCGCCCCCGCCTGCGCTGCTGTCTCCGCCGTGAGATTAAGGTACAAGTCGATTACCTGGACCATGGTCCTCGACGGGAACCTCGCCTGGAGCTCCCTCATAATGCGGTCGTGCTTGGTGTCGCCGGCACTGTTGCTGCTGCCGGCGCCGGAGTCGTAGGCGTTGCTGACCCTAGCGATGACCGACCTCGCCTCACCCAGCTCCGCCGCCGTCCACTCCATGCCGAACGTTGCGTCGTCCATGGCGAGGGCGAGGCCGGCGAGCAGCGCAGAGAGAGCGAATGCTACTGCAAAACAATGAGAGAGCAGCATATGCAAGAAGAGAGGAGGGATCTCTGGATGTTGGTTTGGGGAAGAAGAAGAAGTATTGCCACTGTATTTATAGGCTAAATGTGTGTGGATGCTACCCAGGGACTTCACTAACTAGGGGGAGGTGTATCTGGTAGACCATGATAATCAATAGTAAAATCATGTAAAAATAATAAATTAATATTTTGTCGAAGACACAGATTCGGATCTATGGGATATGTATTAACTAGGAATATAGAAACGCTTGCGATTCTAGATACATTAATTGTTCCGTGCATGTAGTTGCGTCAATGGTACACTCCGTACGGTTTGAAAAGTTTCATGTCAACGGTTGTATGGCCTGAATGTCATGGTCACAATTTTGTCGTCTTGCTGCGTTTTTGCACCTAAGGCTTAAAAGAAAAACTTTTTCACCCCCACTTTATTAGTAATGTACATATGGCTTCTCTGTATAACATATAGCTCTACAAATCATCGGTGTAAAATAGATCGTATCAAAGTTCTTTAGAAGTAGCTAATGCCACAATGTGTGATTGTTACCAAAAGTACTTTGATGGAGAGAGTTCGAGAGCAATTCACTACCAATTCGGCACCGGTCAATGTAATAAATGTAGGAGATTGAGTTTATGCAATCAAGCTATAAAGACAGTATGCATGCAGTACACATGTGATAATAATAAATAATTGTACATACTCCCAACTACCCACCCACTTCTGAACAACTCTTATTTAATAGGGGTATCTAGTTCATTTACTTCCTCTTAAAATTTAGTCAAACACATCTTTCTCATTTAATATAGGGGCATTTAAATCATTTCCCCCTAGAATACGGTCATAAGTAGCGCAATAGTTAATTATTTTAAAATAGAGAATGTAATATTTTAGTTTTACCGGCCTGCTTCAAATTTTTTTGCCTTTGTACAATACACAATCCTCTCGAAGACCTCTCCATGGATGCAATTACGTGACATATATATGTTTTCTTCAAAGAGTTGACCATGTATTATGCTTCACACATGTGAAGGGTGCATCATATATCTGTCATGTGGATGTGCATGATGATGCTGACAAACTGACAATATGCTATGTTTCCTTTCTGCGGTACAGAAAAAAACACAATAGAAACTCATTTTAATGCATTCCTCTTGAGAGACCCGCTCATTTCATTTATGAAATTTCATGCACTTGTTATGGGAAATGTAGAGTATGATTGTGTAGAGTTGTGTATTGTTCTTCAATATGTAATTTTAATATAGAGTCATCTCTGCGAATTTAGAAAACTAAAAAAAATGACTAAGGCTGTGTTCGCCATGGGTTGTTCCCAACTTGATTAATTAAGTACTCCCTCCGTTTTTTAATAGATGACGCCGTTGAATTTTTCTCACATGCTTGACCATTCGTCTTATTCAAAATTTTTATGCAAATGTATAAGATATAAATCACACTTAAAGTATTATGAGGGATAAACAACTCATAACAAAATAAATTATAATTACGTAAATTTTTTGAATAAGACGAATGGTCAAACATGTGAGAAAAAGTCAACGGCGTCATCTATTAAAAAAACGGAGGTATTATTAGATTTTTTTTCAAAAATGGATTAATTTGATTTTTTAAGCAACTTTTGTATAGAAACTTTTTGCGAAAAAACACACCGTTTAGCAGTTTGAAAAGCGTGTGCGCGGAAAACGTGAGAGATGGGTTGGGAAAATGGGCGTCCGAACACAGCCTAAATGTGTCTTTGAAAGTGTTCTTGACTGATGGATTGAACATACCACAAAAAACTTACTGAGAAAAAAGTCTTTTCATTTGTGTTTGCATGTAAGAACCTCATTTAAATGAGATAGATTGAGCGCATTAATAGAAAATTATGTAGCGCATTAATAGTAAAATTTTTACTCCCCTTAAAAATTTTACTCATAATTAGTTAAATATGTGAGTAAAAAGTTTACTCGTGGTGACATTGACAAATCTTAGATGTCCAATTGTTTGTTCTTTAGTACTTTCCATGTTTGCAATATATGGTTTGCACTACATATTTTTCCCACAAACATACCGCAAAACCTATATGGAATAAAAATATGTGTGTAAGGTAGAGTAACAAAAACACATTTATTTGTTTAGAATTATTAAAACTCTTGATAGTACTAGTGGTTTCTGCCGCTCAATTGGCACACAGGTTTCCTTTCAAGCAGTTGTTACTTACACACACACACAGTTGTTACTTACACACACACACATGCTTAGTCCATAAATAAAGTTCTTGCTTGCGTGTATAAATGCGAATATGTTTTTCTTGATATGTTTTTTTATGGTATATATACCTCCTATTAAATGTGTAGAGGCCGGAGATAGACACCTTACTAATGAATTATTAAAAATCTATTTATGAATAAATACTATTGGTTTTTGCCACTCTGCCTCAGCACAAAAAACATTGTAGAAACTCATTTTCATGTCTATTGAGAGACACATACTCTTGGTTTATGAAATTTCATGCGATTGTTATGGGAAATACAAAGTATGTGTGGTTGTGTGGAGTTACTTATAGTTCTACGATAAATCAAGTATAGACTCGATATCTGCGTATTTAGAAAATGACAAAAAAGTCTAAATGTGACTTTGAATATAGTGATCTTGTGGGATGGATTGAATATACCACAGAAAAACTAATTGAGAAAAAAAACTTTTCATTTATGTTGGTCTACCTATACCACATTCGATAATTTTTAGGGGGGAACCTTTTACTCTAACTATGGTGTAATTATAGTGTAACTAAGTATAACTAGGGTTTGGCATGGAGTGGACGACGGTGGAGCTGGGGGAGGCGAGGTCAGTCATCGCTAGGGTCAGCAATGCCTACAACTCCGGCGCCAGTAGCAGCAACAGCACCGGCGACACGAAGCACTGCCGCATTATGAGGGAGCTCCAGGCGAGGTTCCCGTCGAGGACCATGGTTGAGGTAATCGACTTGTACATTAATCTCACGGTGGAGACGACGGCGCAGCTGCAGGACGCCGGCGCCACCGCCGCCGCCGTCGTGCACCCTACTTTTGGCCTCGCGAACGACAATTTGGGCATGCCCGTTGTGAACAACAACAATGGCATGGTGTTTGGTGGTGCTCCTATGAAGGAGGGGGTGGTGGCGATGAACAGCGGCGACGGTGAGGTGGTGAACCAGGACATTGGTTTTTGCCACTTTGCCCAGGCACAAAAAACACAGTAGAAACTCATTTTCATGTCTCTTGACTGACACATACTCTTGGCTCATGAAATTTCATGCGATTGTTATGGGAAATACAAAGTATGTGTGGTTGTGTGGAGTTACTTATAGTTCTACGTTAAGTCAAGTATAGACTTGATATCTGTGTATTTCGAAAATGACCAAAAAAAAGTCTAAATGTGACTTTGAATATAGTGATCTTGCTAGATGGATTAAATATACCAAAAAAACTAATTGAGAAAAAAATGTTTCATTTATGTTGGTCTACCTATACCACATTCGATAATTTTTAGGGGAAACCTTTTACTCTAACTATGGTGTAATTATAGTGTAACTAATATAACTAGGGTGTAAATTTATTTTAGATATCAAAACTTGAACTAGCTCAGTGTTAGATTGGTTGTGCAAATGAGTAAGAGGGTGTGGGTTTGAGTCCTTGCAACTATCCACTTATGTTTGTGTGTAAAAACCTCATTTATGGATGGAGCACATATATATAGCAAAACCTACATGGAGTGGAAACCTGTGCCGAGACAGAGTGGCGGAAACCACTAAATACCAGTGTTTTTCGCCGCTTTGGCTTGGTACACAAGTTTCCACTCCATGCAGGTTTTACTATTTGTGTGCTTCTTCCATAAATGACATTATTGGGTGCGTGTATAAATGCAAAGATTTTTTTTATATGTTTCCATGGTATATATGCCTATTATATTAAATGTGCAAGGAGATAGACACCTAACTGCTAAATTATTAAAAAAAATTTATGAACAAATACCAGTGGTTTTCGCCACTCTAACTCAGCACATTGGTTCCTATTCCAAACAAGAATTATTAAAATGTTTTCGTTGCTCTGCCTTACACACTGGTTTTCGTATATGCTCCATAAATGTGTGATTGTTACCAAAAGTACTTCGATCCAGAGAGTTAGAGAGCAATGCACAACCAATTCGGCACCGGGCATGCAACAAATGTAGGAGATTGAGCTTATGCAATTAAGCTATAAAGACAGTATGCATGCAACACATGTGTGACCCTAATAAATAATTTCACATACTCCCAACTACCCCCACTTCCAAACAACTCTCATTTAATAGGGGTATCTATCATTTACTTCCTCTCAAAATTTGGCCAAAAGTGTCTTTCTCATTTAGTAGAGACATTTAAATCATTTACCTCCCCCTAGAATACGGCCATAAGTAGCACAATAGTTAATTATTTTAAAACAGAGAAAATAATATTTTAGTTTTACGAGCATGTTTCAATTTGTTGCCTTTGTACAATACACATACTCTCAAAGACCTCTTCATGGACACAAGTACGTGACATATCTTTGGTTTCTTCAAAGAGTTGACTATGTATTATGCTTCACTCATGTGAAGGGTGCATCAGAGAGACAAACTGACAATATGCTATCTTTGCTTTCGGCAGTACAGAACAAAACACGACAGAAACTCATTTTCATGCATGTCTCTTGAGAGACATGTTCTTTTTCATTTATGAAATTTCATGCAATTGTTATGGGAAATATAGAGTATGATTGTGTAGAGTTGTGCATTGTTCTTGGATATATAATTCAAGTATAGACTTATCTCTGCGTATTTGGAAAACTTAAAAAAAAACATGACTAAATGTGTCTTTAAAAGTGTTCTTGACTGATGGATTGAATATAGCACAAAAACATATCGAGAAAAAATATGTTTTCGTTTGTGTTTGCATGTAAAAACCTCATTTAAATGAGATAGATTGAGCACATTCATAGAAAATTACGTAGCACATACCACATATGTGGGGTAAACCTTGAAACTATCGTCTGATATAAAAGTG